GCTGGCTGGAGAATTCTGGGAGTTGAAGTCCACAAGTCTTAAAGGGGCCAGGTTTGCAGACCTTTGGTCTAGTCGGCCTCCTGCACCACAATGTGGGGGGACATTTTCGCCCTCCCGGTCTCTAGAGCAGAGGTGGTTTTCAGCAGGTTCTGACCAGTTCTGGAGAACTGGTAGTGGAAATTTTGAGTAGTTCGGAGAACCAGCAAATCCCACCTCTGACTGGCCCCGCCCCCATCTATTCTCTGCCTCCCATTGAGTCCCAGCTGATTGGCTGGGTCTTCTTTTGTTGCCCTGCACGGGAGAAGGGAGCTGGAAAGCAGGTTAGCAGGGTGGGGAGGGAATGGGATTTTGCAGTAACCTTCCCCTGCCATGCTCACAAAGCAACACCATGCTCACCAAGTCATGCCCACAGAACCAGTAGTAATTTTTTTTGAATCCCACCACTGCTCCAGACGCTTTTCTCAAGCCTCTGGGAGGGTGAAAATGGCCTCTCCCGGGCTCCGGAGGCCCTCCTCGAACCTCCTCTTTGCCCTCCTCGAGCCTCCGTGTGAGTCCTGTACTTACCTGGCATCCAAAACAGTCCATGTGGGGACTCCTGGGAGGGGTGAGGTGGGCAGGGCCAGCCAGGGGTGCGATTCACAGGTTCACCGAACTGGGCAGAAATCTTATCCAGAGGATCGCTTGAACCTGTGCGATCCTGTGGCAGGCCACCCCTGTCTGTACATCTGAAAGCAGCCAAGATGGAGAAACTATACAGAACTATACAATTTTGCTGGTAACAAGAGTGGAATCCATCCCAAATCAGCACAGGAGTGGGTGACTTTTCATGTAACTTTAGTTATATTCTAGGGCAGTATTTAGGACCACAAGCTGCAACAGCATCAGCATCAAAACTGTTCTTCATACGCGCAAATTAAACAAGTGAAGTTTATGCAATAGGGATTTATTTCTTTTTATTTTCACAATTTTTTTCCCCACACCAAGGAAAGCAAACTATTCTGCTACAGGAAACAAAATCAAGCCATAGACTGTATCATCACCATCAAGTGCTGAGCAGGCTAGATCATTGCATGTCCTTGAGCACAAACAATCTTGTTCATTTTGCAAACGTGTAGAAGGCTGTTGGACCTTTGCAGCATATTCAGATATTTCTGTCATTTCCATCATTTCCCTTGTTCAAATTTCGGCCTCACTTTTGGGTGTCAGATCAAAATGAAGTGAGAGAAAGTATTAATACATGAAACTTTTGAAAAGATAATTGCTGGATGACTACAGGAATAAAACTCCATTGTGTTCACCAAGATTGATTTAAAAAAAATCTGCCAGACTTTTTGAGACTAACAATTATGACTCAACCAGCACAATGCATTCATCTGTTAATTAATAAATACTTAATTAATAAGTATAATTATTTCAAGCAATTTGCATAATTAAGCCACAGTGGCGCAATGGTTAGAGTGCAGTACTGCAAGCTACTTCTGATGACTGCCGGCTGCCTGCAATTTGGCAGATCGAATCCCACCAGGCTCAAGGTTGACTCAGCCTTCCATCCTTCCGAGGTGGGTCAAATGAGGACCCAGATTGTTGGGGGCAAGAGGCTGACTCTGTAAACCGCTTAGAGAGCTGTAAAGCACTGTGAAGTGGTATATAAGTCTAAGTGCTATTGCTAAGGAACTAATCATCCCCTTTTCTTACTTATTTCATCTCAATGTATCCCACAATTCTCAAACCATTCCATTTATCTGATAATGTGAGTTACCACTCATGAACATTTAAATAAAATTCTACTTTCAGAAGCTGTTACTAGAATGTTTCTTTGGGCTCCCTAGCTAAATTGGGTTCCCCATGCTGGTTGGGGAATTCTAGGAGGTGAGGGCCACACATATTAAGTTGCCAAGTTTGAAAACACTGCAGTGGGACAGATTTGGTTCTCCAGGAAAGATTTCCTGGGAACAAGTGGTAGAAACAGATGGGAAATTATACTGTGTGATGATAACATGACATGCATGGCATCACATTCCCCATGGACAGTCATGCACCCACTTTACAGGGCATGCATGTCCCAATGTTGGCCCTTAGAGTGATACTTTCTAATGGAGAAGAAAAATGAGAAGGGTAAATAATTTATTTTTGGAATCTTAGAATCTTTGTGTCAACCTCCATCCCCAAACATCCCATTTTTTTTTTTCTGTGGAGGACTTACCTATCTTCCTGAGGTCTGTTTATCCTGGGAGAAAAGTACAAGAGGAAGAAGGACGTTAAACGATTTCAACAGATAAAAGCTACTTACCGGCATGCCAACTCCACTGGCCCCATTCATGCCCTAAAAGTGTAACACCATGACTTCTCCAACTATGCCACCACTATAATCTTCTGTATACTATATGTGAATTCCTTCAGGGTACAGATTTTTTAAAAAAATCTCTAATTTCACACAACAAAGTGTGAAAGGAGTCAAAAAGCTGCACATATCCATGCAGCCAAAAAGCTACACATATCCATGCAAAGTGTGAAAGGAACCCAAAAGCTGCACATTTCATCCATAGCAGAGGTGGTATTCATCAGGTTTTGACCAGTTCTGGAGAACCAGTAGCAGAAATTTTGAGTAGTTCAGAGAACTAGCAAATACCACCTCTGACTGGAGATTTTACAGTATCCTTCCCCTGCCACGCTCACCAAGCCACACCCACAGAATCTCTAGTAAAAATATTTGAATCCCACCACTGCTCCATAGATGAATAACGACCATTAAGGAGAGAAATTACCACTAGACAAAAAGCTGTTCAGAGGCCCTGCCTCCATGCAACAAGAGTGCTTTGAGAAGAGTCAGAAAAGGCCTTCTAAGCACAAACAGCAAAATAAAATGGAATTTCTTCAGGGTTGACTTTTCTCTGAATACAGTAGTTACATTTGGTTGGCTAAAAGATTTAGCAAACAATGAGAACTCAACACTGAGTAAAGACATCCTTTGCCTAGACCAAGGGTCTTCAAACTTGGCAAGTTTAAGACTTGTGGACTTCAACTCCCAGAATTCCTTAGCTAACATGATTGGAGGAGGAATTCTGGGAGTTGAAGTCCACAAGTCTTAAAGCTGTCAAGTTTGAAGCCCTCTGGCCTAGACCTTCTTTCTTATGTCACCTCTACCTCTTCCACCTCCTTCTATTCCAAATACTTTAGAAAATGAAATGGTAAGCATAGTTGTGCTGTATATAGATTTGTCTCTCTATCAAGATCTCCTCTGCATGATTTCCCATGCAGCTGCGCAATCCCCATGGAGAATCTTCACCTCAACTTGGCTCCTGGATTGATTTTTAACAAGTCAGTCATTGGAAAGGAAAATAAAAACAAGCCAAATGTTTTAGCCCTGCTTCCTGTAATTAAACTCTGGGCACTCTGGAGTTTCTTTGGGTGAAGGAGGAAGAATGATAAAAAAGGGTATCTGTTCAGATAGAAGTAGAATATGAACGAAAGAAATGGTGAAAAATAAACAGGAGATACTTACCATTGTTCCATCTCCACCAGCACCATTCATGCCCTGAGAGTGAAAGAAAAAACAACCATTATAGTATGATCAGATATCACTCTGCCTAGAAAGGATTCAGAAAAGATGCTCACACTGTACTTAACACAAAATGAAGTTGGATTGTGTTAAGGGACACTCTTCACTTAACAAAGATCTGAGATTATTTTGGTACAAAATTTGTCCAACAATGGTAACCCACCAGTGCTTCAGGACTTCCTTTGCATATTGTATTTGTATTTGTGACATCTTCCTCACGGTATGCTACTAAAATTATTCAGCTTTACCTGACCCTCTATTTTCTACCCCCTCCATCTCCTTCTACTCCATGAAAGTTAGAAAAAGATAGTCATGATTGTATGCAGAAATTTGTGTGTGCATCAAGATCTCCCTTACATTACTGCCCTTGCAAAAAAGAATCTTCGCCCATGTTTGGCTTCAGGATCTATTCTTAAGAGATCAGTTGTTCAAAATAAGGTTCAATATGGGCCCAATATTTTGGTCCTGCCTATTATGAATATGCTCTGAGGACTCTGCAGAGGCTTTTGATGAAGGGGGAAAAAGGATAAAAGAGATAGTTGTTCAGGTAGAAGAAGAATATGAATGGCAGAAAATAAATCAGAACTACTTACTGGCTTTGGAGCTCCGCCACTGCCATTCATACTCTAAAATGGAAACAAAAGGTGAAAATTGTACTCTGGGATGATATCACCCATGACTTCTCCAACCATGTTATCATTAGGCTCCACAGACACCACTCAGGTGACCTTGATGACACAGATAAGCCTCCAGGTGGGCTTAACAACTCTCCAAAAAGATGCAAATGACCAGCTGTATGCAAGGAGTATAAATCCTTCCATTCCCCACCATCCAGTCAGAGCGAAAGAAGCTTTTTGGAGGGGAAGTGAAACAGCTTCAAAAGAAAAAAGAAGAAAGTCCAGCTGCCTCTTGGGACAAAAAAAAACTTGAGAAATGTCATCACATTAGGTCAAACTAACCTCTATTGACCTGACCCCATTCCTAAGAGGTCTGTAAGGTGCGTGCATAAGCGCACAATCATGCCTACCATCCCTGTTCTTTTGTCCCCAATTATTAGATCCTATTTCTTGTATTTAAACCTACGTTTATTCGTGTTTCTGTTATATTGTAAGCTTTTGACAAATAAATAAACCATCATCTTCGGTTATTGGAAATGAGGTTAAATATGAGCCAAATATTTTGGTCCTACTGTCTATGAATATGCTCTGGGGATTCTGCCCAGGATTTTGGTAAAGGAAAAGAAAAGGATAAAAGGGATAGTTGTTTGGGTGGAAGAGGAAAATGAATGGCAGAAAATAAATAAAAGCTACTTACTGGCATTGGAGCTCCACCAGTACCACTCATGCCCTAAAAGGGAAACAAATGGTAAAGCTTGTGCTCTGGTATGATAACACCCATGATTTCTGCAACGCCATCACTACCGTGTTTCTCATAAAATAAGGCCGGGTCTTATATTTTTTTGAGCCCTGAAAAAACGGCTAGGCCGTCTTTTCGGGGGTGACTTAATTCCCCCCCTTGCATCCTCATCTAGAGCACCCCGCGGGCAGCCTCGCCACCAGCCGCTCCTAACGGGTGATCACGGCGAAGCGCAGAGAGCTCCCTACTCCCACCAAACACCTTTGCTGCAGACCCAAGACCTTTGGAACCCGCCACTGTTGCTTTCTCTTCTGCCCATTCCTCAGCCACGTTTGGAGCTGCCGCTTCCGTGTTTGGAGTGCCGCTACCATTTGGAGTTCCGCCCCCATTTGGAGCACCGCCGCCATGTTTGGAGCTGCTGCTTCCATGTTTGGAGTGCCGCTGCCATTTGGAGTGCCGCCACCATTTGAAGCACCGCCGTCATGTTTGGAGCTGCCACTTCTGCGTTTGGAGCTGCTGCCATGTTTGGAGTGGCAGCGGCGCTCCAAATGGTGGTGGTGCTCCAAACAGCGGTAGTGCTCCAAATGCGGAAACGGCAGCTCCAAACGCAGCGGCAGCTCCAAATGCGGACATGGCAACTCCAAACAGCAGCAGTGCTCCAAATGCGGAAGCAGTAGTTCCAAACGCGGCGGCAGCTCCAAATGCGGAAGCGGCAGCTCCAAACAGCAACAGTGCTCCAAACAGCGGCAGCGCTCCAAACGCAGCGGCAGCTCCAAATGCAGAAGTGGCAGCTCCAAACAGCAGCGGTGCTCCAAACAGCAGTGGTGCTCCAAACACGGGAAATCAACAGCGGCAGGCACTGAAGGTCTTGGGTCTGCCGCAAAGGTGCTTGGCAGGGGTAGGTAGCTCTCCACGCTCTGCCATGATCGCCCATTAGGAGCAGCTGGTGGTGAGGAATTGCTGCCCGCGGGGCGCTCCTAACGGCAAGTCCCCCCGCCCTTGCCCCCATTTTGCATGTTTTAAAATAGGCCTAAATTTGGGGGGAGGGGCTTAATTTCATTTTATGCCTAGAAAACATGCCGGGTCTTCCTTTTGGGGGAGGTCGTATTGTTGGAGAAACACGGTACTATCCTCTGTATCTCGTATTTCGATTCTAGATTGCATGAATCCAGGTGGAAAAATGTGTGAGGAAAGGAATGGTAAATATAAATACAAGCTACTTACTGGCATTCTCCCTCCAGCACCGCCCTGCATGCCCTAGAAGGAATCAACAGGTAACTATTTTAATCTGATATCATATTACCCATGACTTCTACAACCAGGGCATCACTACCACCTTGGGCTATTGGAAAGGAGGTTGAATATGAGCTAATTATTTTGGTCCTGCCTGGTATGAATATGCTCTGGGGAGTCTGCTAAGGCTTTTGGTGAAAGAGGAAAAAGGATAAAAGAGATACTTGTTCAGGTGGAAGAAGAATGTGAATGGCAGAAAATAAATAAGAACTACTTACTGGCATTGTAGCTCCACCACCGGCACTCATGCCCTAAAAGGGAAACAAATGGTGACAATTGTACATTGGTATGATAACACCCACGAGTTCTGCAACTATGCCATAACATCATCCTCTTTATTTCATATTTCAATTGCAGATTGCATGATTGTAGGTGGAGAAATACATGAAAAAAGAATGGTAAAATAAAAATACAATCTACTTACTGGCATTCTCCCTCCACCACCGCCCTGAATGCCCTAGAAGGAATCAACAGGTAACTATTTTAATCTGGTATGATATCACCCATGACTTCTCCAACCAGGGCATCACTACTAGCATCTTGGGTTATTGGACATGAGGTTACATATTTTGGTCCTGCCTGCTATGAATATGCTCTGGGAATTCTGCAAAGGCCTTTGTTAAAGGAAAAGAAAAGGACAAAAGGGATAGTTGTTCAGGTGGGAGAAGAACATGAATGGCAGAAACATAAATAAAAGCTATTTACTGCCTTTGGAGCTCCACCACCGCCATTCATGGCCATTCAAGGGAAACAAAAGGTAGATCTAGTGCTCTGGGATGATAACACCCACAACTTCTGCAACTACGCCATTACTATCCTTCTTTGTATCTCATATTTCAACTCCAGATTGCATGATTGCAGGTGCAAACATACATGAAGAAAGGAATGTTTGAAAATAAACAAACAAAAGCTACTTACTGGCATTGGCGCTCCACCCTGCATGCCCTAGAAGAAATCAAAAGGTAACTATTTGAATATGATATGGTAACATTCAGGACATCAGTGAGCTGTTGGACAGTATTACTTGGTCTGTTGTGGATGCTTGTATGTTTTTAGGGGGCAGGGAATTTTGGCGGGGGTGGGGGTATATTGTATTTCAGTTCCAGATTGCATGATGGACCACTTTTGTCTGAATGTAGCTAATGCATTTGGTTGGTTAAAGGATTTAATAAGCAATGAGAAGTGAGTAAAATACTTCTTTCTCTCATTATACCTCAGACATCCTTGTAATGGAAGGCTAGACTAATAGAATAATGGGGTGGCATGTGCTTTGTAAGATGAAATAAAGGCTAGGTTATTAAATATTTTGGATCTATTGAACAATGACCCTTTCTGGACTCCACAAAATTTCCAGGTGAAATAAACCCTGGAAAAGGAGCAGACAAAATCCATCTTAACAGCAATTTTTTATCCTTTGGAAAGAACATTTATATTTTGTAGATTACTTGTGATCATTATGAAGAGGGAGGGAAAAAGAAGTAGATTAAAAATTATGCAATTGTTGTTCATGTATGCAAAAAGGATCACCTTGTGATGATTCAGAAAAAGTCTGGCTCACAGCTACCAGAAATAAACTTGGATGAGATAGGGGACACTTTTGCTTAAATAAAGCATCTGCATTTGGTTAGTAAAATATTTACCAAGCTATGAGAACCCAGTAGTGTGTAAGGACTACTGCATATCACACCTGGTATACTGTATGCTTGTCATAGTAAGCTGCTACCTGATTCAGTTTCACTTGACTCTCTCTTCTGCCACCTCCATCTCTTCTTCAAATAAGTTTGATATTGATAGTCATAATTGTATACAGAGATTTGTCTATATATTAAGATCTCTTCTACTTTATTTCCCATGTTGTCCACCAGTGGTATCTTCACCTCAACCTGGCTGCTGGATGTATTTTTAGGAGAATAATATTGAAAATAAGGGTAAACCTTGGCCAAATATTTTGACCATGCCTGCAGCAGAAGTAGTATTCAGCAGGTTCTGACCAGTTCTGGAAAACCGGTAGCAGAAATGTTGAGTAGTTTGGAATCTCTAACTGGCCCCACCCCCATCTATTCTCTGCCTCCCATTGAGTCCCAGCTGATTGGCTGGGTCTTCTTTGGTTGCCCTGCACAGGAGAACAGAGCTGGAAAGCAGGTTAGTGGGGTGGGGAGAGATGGGGATTTTACACTATGCTTCTCCTGGAGTGGGGTGGGAATAGAGATTTTAGAGTATCCTTCCCCTGCCACACCCACCAACCACACCCACCAAGCCACACCACATCCACCAAGCCATGCCCACAGAACCGGTAGTAAAAAAATTTGATTCCTACCACTGGCCTTCAGTCTTTATGCTCTGTAGACTGAACAGATTCTTTTGGTGAAGGAGGAAGAATCATAGAATAGCGCTTGGAGGAATATGAGGAAAGGTAGACAGAAAATAAATAAAAGCTACTTACCATCATTGGACTTCCACCAGTGCCATACATGCCCTAAAAGGAAAACAGAAGGTAACTTTTGTGGTCTGTGATATGATAACCATGACTTGTCCATCCTATCCCAACCATTTTCTTTATCTTGTATTTCAATTCCTTCCATGTCCAGATTTTTTTTAAAAAAAATGTGTCTAATTTCACACAATAAGATGTGAAAGGAGACAAGATATTTGTATGCATCATGTAGATCAGACATGGAGTGGTGTGGTGGCCTGGAGGTGGAGCTCTCGCCTCACAATCAGGAGGCTGTCTCTCTGGGCACAATGAG